TTGTAATTTTTTGTATAACGTCAATTTGTGTTAAGAATACCATATAAATTGTCACATACACCTTAATTAAAATGAAATAACACAAATGAGAATACATATTTTTTTATTTCGTAGATAATTGTCACTAGAGATCTATTCGAACAGCCTCTTGATTACAAAAAATTACTAAACTCAATTGTCTGTTGCTAGCGCTCAGAAAATAGATGACGCTGTTAAGCGGTGATGGACTGGCAATGTCGCCAGCAGGTTACTGAAGGCGGCGCCATCTATTTTTCAGTATTATTGTCACTCCATCACCTTTTCGATTGTATTTTTTTGCACAGCTGGGATATAATCGAATTGAAGTTACAGATTCCCCAAATTCTGAAACAGCCAAGGATTCTTTTTCGTCTGACACATCTGGTATGGCTTGTAAGCGCTGTTTAAACAACGATCTCACCATTATACTAAATTATAATTGTTTCTTAAAAATAAACAAAATTCAAAATGTCTGTTTCTAACGCTCAGTAAATAGTTGATGCTGTTGGGAGCTGATGTTTGTATGATCATCAAACAAAAGTTGCTGGCAGTGCTGCCAAAATGGTACTGAAGGCGGCGCCATCTGTTTTTTAGTATGACAGCCATGCAATAAAATATCCGATTGTTTTGAATCCCGCGATGCTGTTAGACGGAAAACTTCATTCATAATGAATAAAACTCCTTCGGAATAAAGCATTCTACCAGAAAAGTGCAGTTATACTAAAACAGCTAAGCGAATTGGCATCTAAACGGATTGTACCGTAGTAAACTAATTTTAATTTAGAAATTTGGTCGTTACCTTACCCCACCTAATACTAATAATTGAACAAGATTTGTAGTACAAGTGATGATCAATATACTATATTAGTTAAAGCACGATAAAGCTAAAAGTATGGCACAGAAGGATGCCTTAATGTAAACAAAGAAAATAGTTTTTCTCCTTTAAATTATGCTGAACTGAATATTTGAGTAGTCCACTTGCAAACAGCGTTATGTGATTTTATAATAGAAAGCCATAAATTTGAAAAAACGACTACGACAACAAGTAGCATTTAAATCGAATCTTTTTTATTATTACCTGAAAATTTTTATAAATACGAGCCTTATAAAATTATAACATAACATACCATGACATAAGATAACATTAACAGTCTACACGACCTAAAGCAGTTTTCTAGGTTCTTTTGAGAGTATATAAATAAGTATGATAGCGACTTTTGGAAGAAGAGTTAACATTTTATGCTATTTTTTCAGAATATAAAAAGATTTTGCACTGTGTTGTTAGTGGACATGAAACTACTTTAAATACTGGTACGTAATCCACCGAAAACTAAAAATCTAAAAATTTTACATAGCGCACTTTGCAAGTGTATTACTGTTTTATATTTTTATTTGTTTACCCCGAACGACGTCGGGTGCTCTGCTAGTATCATATAAATTGTCATAGGGACAATTTATGATTTGTCACACGCACACGTACTAAAGGGGATTTAAATGAGGATTTTAAAAAACAGGGGATTTCAATAAGCTGTAATAAAAACTTACTAGTTGGCACTAATTTTGCGTTCGCATACTTTTTGTGATATATTTCAAATCTTTTCTGCAAGTTGCTGCTGGATAATTGTCACTAGAGATCTTTTCGAAGAGACGTTAGTCTTGATGACAGGAAAATTACGAAATTCAAATTGTCTGTTGCTAGCGCTTAGAAAATAGATGACGCTGGTAACGGTTGATGGAATGGCAGTTACCAGCAGCTTACTCCAGGCGGCGCCATCTGATTTTCAATATTGCACTCACACAAACTATGCTAACTTCCAGGCCAGCGTGGTCAAAAACGTACATAAGGAAATTATTCTATTCCCTTGTCAAATCAAGCCGTACCACAGGAAATTGGTTTTACGAAATTAAAGCTTCAAGGTGTGTTCGTACAGAGATTAATCGAACAATTTATACTGAGAGAGAAGAAATATACTCATAGATATGTTCGAAGACAACGCAAATTGCTATTAATAATTATTATCCAAATTTTCGTGGTTTACTTTGGATGTTACATATATTCGATTGAATCATTTCAAAGGGGGGCTGTTTGGGTAATTTATTTTTAGCATAAATTTAAAAAACGGTAATACATTGGATCCTTGGCTAAAAACTTCTGGGGTAAAACTGTCCCCCTACGTCTCCTTTCTTGGCTATTTAAAGCCAAAGGGTAAGCTCCCTCAATAGGGATTTCCAGCATATGCTAAAATTATTAAAAAGCTATCGGTCTGACATTTGATCAGATAATAATAACGAGACTATCTGAAATCCAAACGTTCATAAAAAAACCGGGTGCTTTTTAAAAAAATAACAATATTCTGATCCGATTCCACTGGCGGGCACGACCTTGAAAACACAACTTTGTTCAAAACTTTCTTTCTGGAAAATAATAATTTATTTATTGTATTTATTTATCGTTTAAACACGATCTAGTGATTATGCTAATTTATAATTGTTTCTTAAAAATGCTTGATTCGGATCCACGGATGTCTAAAATTCCGCGTTCGCAACATCCCTACGCTCAGTAAATAGATGACGCTGTCGAGAGCTGACGCTTGTATAATAATGAAACAAAGGTTGCTCTCAGTGTTGCCATCTGTTTTTTTAGCAGCAATTCAATAAAATATCCTATTGTATTCTAGCGTTACCCCATATTATGGAAATTTTGCTATTCGGGTGTTAATTCAAGTCACTGTACCACAGCAAATTGGTGTTTACGATATTAAAGGTACTAAGGCGTGTTCGTGCAGAGCTTGATCAAACAATTTATACTACGCTGTCCGTTCGAAGACAATTCAAATTGCAACAAATATAGATAAATAATAATTTACATCGAAGGACACGCTCCACAATATTCTTTACAAATAAAGTTTGAAACATGATACAATAATTTTTAGAAGGTAGTTTCACTTCTTCTTCTTATCCGCCATGTTAGCTATCTGACAGAAAACGTGTTTCGTATTTTTTGTTGTACCAACTTTTTCAAAAAAAAAAATCCAGCTTTTGACGTTGGAAAATTAAAACAAAGAAAAGCCAAACATAATAAAATAACTGCTGCTTTCGTGGATATTGCAACACACGGAATAGATGTAAGGACACAGCTATAGGAGCCACCGCACACCACAGACTTTATCGGCCGCCTATTTAAATGATATGGCTCGCTTGAAATATGTACATGAAGATGTATGGAGGTGCGCACATTACACCAGCTTAATCGCTCTGACCAATAAGTTGTGGTGCAGTGGAAAGACTAGCGAGCACATCTAAATTGGCGGCCGATAAAGTCCGTGGTGTGCGATGGATGTAATCCATTATAAACAAGAAATATCGCTGTTATATTTTCATTTTTATGATTTTTATTCATGTGATTAGCAGTGGCAAAAATGTATGTATAAAATACGTATATTTGTATTAAAAATTAAGTGATCAGTTATGAAAAATATGAATCTTTACATGTTCTGTTAAAAAATATCTAAAATAACCAGCGATAATCCTCAAGTTCTATATCGTAGCAGTGGCCACATTTCGTGTTTGTCACAGACACGGTTTATGTCAAAAATTTTTAAGTGAAACTACCTTCTAAAAATTATTGTATCATGGTTTGAAAGCTAAATAGCTACGTATACACTGTCATCCTCATAACGTATACATTGTGTTTGGTATAACGTATACGTTGTGTTGGGTATACCGGTGAATAAATTTTCATTCGTATAACGAATTAGTAGTTTTTGATATAACGTGCGCGTTGTTTAAGTTACAGATTCCCCAAATTCTGAAACAGCCAAAGGAATGAGAAAGAAGAATTCTTTTTCGTCTGACACATCTGGTATGGCTTGTAAGCGCTGTTTAAACCTCTAGTAGGCTGAACCGCCTTCAGACGGTCGTTAACTAAACACCTTTATCGTGCACCTATAATAATTTTTTTCTATATTCGTAAGGCACGATCTTTAGACAAAAATCGTACCCTTACGGCGAAGTAAATTTGAATCCGTTATGTCAATCCGTTTTATTTTAATCGGCAGTTGTATTACAGATTGTGAAAGACACGGTTAAAATTAATTATTTCTTGCTATTTAGTAATTTCGTAATTAAAGAAATTTTTTCTTTTGAAAATTTCTTGATATAAAAATATTCGGTGGATTTCATAGTTAGATGCACCGTATTTTAATATAAGTTTTATAATTATGTCACCATTCGTCTACAGGCCGGCTTGCCGACATATAAAAACCCAGTTTGCATTTTTGTTGTTGTTGAACAAAATTCATCTCTAAAAATTAAAATTAACTAATAGTAAAATAAGAAATGTGATATAAAATAAAGCAAATGAAAATAAAATAAAGTAAAATTAAATATATAAATAAAATAAAATAAAAAAATATAAAATAAATAATAAAAACAAAAAATTTTTCGCAATCGCTCCAACCGAGTATCGAACCTGGCAGCTACAGGCTTATAGCTCGCAACTCTCACCACTCGGCTACCGCGTACGCGAAACTCGACTGCTTCGTTTGCTTACTTGCACAAAAGACTGGCCGTTTTTACCAGTGTTGTCATCCAAAATTCCCCGGATCCGAGTTAATTCCCCAAAATTTCGTGCATTTGTTCGGCTGCTTATGCTCATTTTAAAGTGGAAAATGCATGAATTAAAGCAAATTAAGGCTGGTTATGAAAATAATCGAGCCCGTTTGTCTACCGTATAACGCTCAGTAAATAGTTGATGCTGTTGGGAGCTGATGTTTGTATGATCATGAAACAAAAGTTGCTGGCAGTACTGCCAAAATGGTACTGAAGGCGGCGCCATCTGTTTTTTAGTATGACAGCCATTCAATAAAATATCCGATTGTTTTTAATCCCGCGATGCTGTTAAATGGTGTTCACATTGCACCATAAACTCGAGTTTGAGGTTTTGTGTTTATGAACAACTGTCAAGCGTTCACATTGGAGTGTTTCAGAGACATAGAGTTTGATTTGACGTTTGTTTGTTGACATTTGCTTGTTTAATTTTTCTTGCTCACATCGTTCTTGTTTTTACCAAAATGTCTTCAAATATAAATATTATTTTGTTTATTGTGAAAATATATTTTACAACCATTCAAAAGTATGTAGAATTGGAAAATGCTTGCGCTGAAAGCATTTCCCTTTAACGTGCACGAAGTGAGTTTTTATTGAATATGATGTGGTTTTGCTTGAATCAACAATGGATGATATTAACAATTTTGGAGAAACCGCATACTAAAATGCATTGGTAGACCAACATTTCCTAGTTCTTGTTATTCAATTGATTGCCAATGAAATGGGGAGGAGTTCTTTAGGAACAATTTTCGCATGAAGCGCAGTAGCTTCAACAAGCTATGCGGCCTTCTTTCATGTTTGGAAAGGAAAGATACAAATTTTCGGAAAGCAATTAGCCTTGAGAAGCGGGTAGCCATTGCTCTGTATGCCCTGGGATCATCTTCTGAGTACCGCAGTGTGGGTAATATGTTCGGAATTGCAAAATCGACTGTATGCTTAATCGTGTTAGAGTTTTGCAAGCAAGCATGGATTGTATTACATCCTGTTTACCTTAATCACTTCCCTCTCAGTAGAGAAAAGATACGAGAGTGCATGTCTGGGTTCAACCAAATTGGGTTTCCTCAATGCATTGGTGCAATTGGTATGTTTTTATGGCGTAAATATATTTGTACGATTCACTCAATTGATTTTTCTCATTTAATTTTCTAAGATGGTTGTCACATAGAAATACATCCAAAACATGATGAAGCCGTCGATTACTTCAAATACAAAGGGTGGTATTCCACCGTGCTTTTGGCTTTAGTTGACGCCAGGTAAATTTTCCTTCCTTTGAACTATATTTGTATGTATGTATATTTTTAACGTAAATAAAACTACACCTCTTTTGTAGATATCGTTTTCTTTATATTAATGGTGGTAGTCCAGGAAAATGCAACGACTCATTCATTTACGAGAGGTCATTATTAAAGCAAGAGCTGCATAACTGTGCTTTGCTTAATAAAATGAGTATTCAATTGGAGTCAGTAAACATTCCGGTGTTAATACTAGGAGATTCTGCATTTCGTCTATCGCCAAACTTAATGAAACCTTTTCCGTTTAGTCTTAACAACACCTCTGCACAAAAAAAATTCAACTATCAACTGTCTAAATGTCGCAGGGTAGTAGAAAATGCGTTTGG